AAATATAATATAACAAAAAGATTATCATACATGGACTGTAGCGAATCACTACCCCTACCGCCTTTTTCCATCCTCTCCAAAGATCCTCCCTTTAACTACGCACTTTTCTCCACAAAGTCCCTTTCTTAACATTCACACTCTCTCACTAAAACACTCTGCATACTCATTTAGATTCAGCCGTTGTCAAGATCCAGAGAGTGAAGGAGCTTCGATTCAAAGGAGAAGCTCTACTGGGGGATCCTTCTTTTTCAGGTTACTCCCTTGATTCATTTTCTGCTCATTTACTTCACTTTGATCCTTCCCATCTATGTTTTTTGTGTCTTTGCTTCTGATATATATGAATGGGGTGGGATCTTGGATGTTGGGTACTTGGCTCTTTTTTCTTTGTTAATATTTTCCTGTTTTGTTATGTGGGATTATCAGCTTTTCTGCTTTCTTGCTTAAAAATTTGAGATTTCACTGCTGGGGTTGACAGATATTGTGAAATTTTGAGATATGTTTAACGAAAGTGTCAGTTCTCTTGCTTGGGAATGACCTGGGTTGCTCTTAACGAAAATAAGTGAACATTTTGCTGTGATCTTTGAAGTTTTAAACTTGTTTCTAAGTTAAGAATAGGCGTCAAAGATCTCTTTTCATGAGATATGAAATGAAATAGGTTACTCTAGAGCATAGCCATGGTCTAGATGTGTTATTGTCTTATTGAGCATTGATCCATTCAAAAAAAAAAAAATGTAGATATTTACTAATCATTAATCAACCATTTCTAGACTAGACGTTTGCACCGATTTATGTGAATCTTTTATTGATTCTCTGTTTAATGGAACTTCATTTCTTTCCCTTGAAAGGGTACGCTTTGAAATTGTTTTTATGTGTATAGTTAACTCTATTGCCGCTTTAACTGTTACATGATTGATTCATAGTGGAATTTGACAGTTGATTTCTCTGGATATGTTTGCTTTATAGCTAGCTCTGTCTTTTTTACCATTAATTATTGTCTCTGGCAAGACACATTGTTCTTATTTTTATGCTGTTTTCAGTGTGCTTTGGGTTGAACCATCATCATGGGATCCAAGCATAACCCACCAGGCAATAGATCGCGTCATCCACTATCTATATTTGCTGTGATTGGTTTGTGCTGTTTCTTTTACCTCCTGGGAGCATGGCAGAAGAGTGGTTTTGGCAAAGGAGATAGCATAGCTTTAGAAGTAACCAAACAGACTGACTGCAACATCTTCACTGATTTAAATTTTGAATCTCATCACAATGATGTGGAGATTGTTGAACCTGCTAAGCCAAAAGCTAAGGTCTTTAAGCCATGTGGCGTAAAATATACTGATTATACCCCTTGCCAGGAGCAAGATCGAGCCATGAAGTTCCCGAGGGAAAATATGATTTACAGGGAAAGACATTGTCCTCCTGAACAGGAAAAATTGCATTGTCTTATTCCAGCACCAAAAGGATATGCATCCCCATTTCCATGGCCAAAGAGTCGTGATTATGTCCACTATGCTAATGTTCCTTACAAAAGCCTGACAGTTGAGAAGGCTGTTCAGAACTGGGTGCAGTATCAGGGAAATGTGTTCAAATTTCCAGGTGGAGGAACAATGTTCCCTCAAGGTGCCGATGCATATATTGATGAGCTTGCAACAGTTATCCCCATTAAAGATGGCTCTATCAGAACTGCACTCGATACTGGTTGTGGAGTAAGTTAACTTTTGAAACCTATCTTTTAATTTAGTGTTTATGACTTCATGTAGTTGCCATTTTTTTCTGAAGGTGGGGGTATGTGTTATCTATACACTGTTTACTTGTTTAGTAGTTCTGAGCATTCAAATCCCTTAGAATATCCACATAGATAAATATTTCAGTAGCCCTGTACATGTTTTACTTTTAAACAATAGGTCATCCCAGATTCACCTTCTCTGAAGCCTAAAACACACGGACCAGGAGCTGAATTTTTCATTTTAGGTAGGAAGGTGTCACAAAATTTCTGTAAGTAGAATTTCTTACTTGATAACCCTGTGCCATCTACCAGCTGGAACCTGGAAGGGAACATCTTGTTTGAGTTCTCTATGCTCCTTACATTGAGAATCATGTATCTTTGTGCTCTTGTGTCTACATTCTTTTAAGTTCCTTGTCTGGTTCATTTACAGTCCCTTTTATTTATTTATTTATTTATTTATTTCTGGGTTTTGAGCTTTGACCATCAGAAAAAAGTGATTTATTGGTAATTAGGCTCTCATTGCATAATAATCTTTTTGTGTCCTCAGGATGCTGTGGGAGTATAAATGTATATGATATATCTCATTGTAAGCTTTTTAATGTTTTCGTGTATATCATATTTCTTGATTAATGGAATGGAATAATGGATCACAATGCAGGTTGCAAGCTGGGGTGCGTACTTGCTGAAAAGAAATGTACTGACTATGTCTTTTGCACCACGGGATAATCATGAAGCACAGGTACAGTTTGCATTGGAACGAGGAGTACCTGCTGTTATTGGTGTTCTTGGAACAATACACCTCCCTTATCCATCAAGGGCCTTTGATATGGCTCAGTGTTCTCGGTGCCTAATACCATGGACTTCAAATGGTAAGTGCCGGTGATGAACAATATCATCACTGACATCTACTTCTCGTATTTCTCTTCACTCTCTCTTCTAGGTGCATAAACTGTGGTTAGAAATTGGATATAGAAGTAAAGAAAGAAGGAATTTAATAGTCAAGGAAGGAAGATAATTTGCAATGTTGATTTTCTTTTTCTTTTTCAAGTGACATTTGTTATAATCCAGCTATATGATTGTTTAAAATTTGATTATCCCTGGTACAATTTGATAATCATTCCATGTGTAATAATTTATACAGATGGAATGTACTTAGTGGAAGTTGATAGAGTCCTGAGGCCAGGTGGATACTGGATTTTGTCTGGCCCTCCAATTAATTGGAAAACCTACTACCAGATTTGGAAACGTTCCAAGGAGGATCTCCAGGCTGAGCAAAGAAAAATTGAGGAGCTGGCTAAACAACTTTGCTGGGAGAAAAAATATGAGAAGGGAGATATTGCTATATGGAGAAAAAGAGTGAATGACAAATCCTGTAAGAGGAAGTCTGCCAATATTTGTAAATTGAGGGAGCCTGATGATGTTTGGTAAGTTTATATGTGCCATGGTTTCTCTCATTCACTAGTCACTTGAATACCAAAATAACCAAATATGGTATAATGCGTTTGATACTTCATATCATTTTCAGTTTGGCCCCTTGATTTGATTCATATTTTCTAATTGTGTTTCCATCCTAATTATTTCTTCTCTGGCATATTTTAGGTACAAGGAAATGGATACATGCATAACCCCCTACCCTGAGGTAAATAATGCAAATGAAGTAGCAGGAGGAGAGTTGAAGAAGTTCCCTGCTAGGCTTTTTGCAGTCCCTCCTCGGGTAGCTAAGGGACTCGTTGATGGGGTTTCTATTAAATCTTATGAAGAGGACAATAAACTTTGGAAAAAGCATGTAAATGTGTATAAAAAGATTAATTCACTGATTGGCACAACAAGATACAGGAATGTTATGGACATGAATGCGGGTCTTGGAGGATTTGCAGGAGCACTTGAATCACCTAAATCTTGGGTTATGAATGTTGTGCCCACAATTGCCGAGAACACTCTGGGTGTTATTTATGAGAGAGGTCTAATCGGCATATATCATGACTGGTGTGTGCTGAATCTTTGTTTGACTTTGAATAAATTCACCTGGTTCTTTTAGGTTGCTTAGTTTCATATGCATATACCTTCAACAATTTTGTATGCTGTACTTAAGTGGTTATATGTTTCAGGTGTGAAGGTTTCTCTACCTACCCAAGATCATATGACCTTATTCATGCCAGTGGTGTCTTCAGCTTGTACCAGGACAAGTAAGTCCCATAATCCTTTTTTCCTAGCACCATATGTCAGAAGAATTTCGGCTAGCTTTCACTATATTAGGCCAAAGTTGTTAGTCAATGATCAATAAACTATTCCTTTAATAATGAGAGATCCTATTTAATGCCACTTTTCTTGGATAAGGTGAAAGGTTTCATCATCTGAGATTGTTTATATTACAAATGCCAATGATGTTTAGGTGTAAATTTGAAGACATCCTACTCGAAATGGATCGTATTTTACGGCCTGAAGGGACTGTTATCTTCCGGGATGATGTTGATGTTCTAAATGAGGTTAGGAAAATCACTGGAGGCATGAGATGGGATACCAAGATGGTAGATCATGAGGATGGCCCCCTTGTGCCACAGAAGATACTGGTTGCTGTTAAACAATATTGGGTTGGTGGTGGAGGAAATAGCACCTCTACTGATGAATAAACCGTGTCAGCATCTTAGTTTTGAGGTAAAAACCAAAGCAAAGCTTATGATGCCAATAGATGACTAAAGTTTTTCCGAGGCTAAGGGACTGAAGAGTTCTGATCCTTGGAAATGTCATCAGTAAGTGAATGCATTCTGTTAAAGATTAAATACAGAATGTGATGTGTTATCTTAGCAAGTATTCTTGGATATGATTTGGATGGGAAAATTACATTTGTTATTTTGGTAGCTGCTTCAATAATTAGGTCAAGTTCCAGGAATGTTATAGTGATGACAATAAAAAGTGACATGTAACCATCATTATACATCCCATAATGCAAATGTTGATTCATTGCTTTCTCTCAATTTTCTTGCTCCTTTTTATCTTCATCTTTATTTTCCACTATACCAAACAGATTTTGTACACTACTGCTTAGAGAATGACTATTCTGATTAGGATGAGATACTGTCCCCAGCCCTCACTAACAGGAGAGTCTGCCATGTCTTTGTGACAAAACAACTTTCTTTGGTTGTGTGAGTTGGTGATCACTTTACTGTGAGTGTGTTGGTGGTCGGTCACTGTTGTAGGTCACTTGATGTCCTTCCCCATCTTTTCGTTAATAATAGATAGTGATATAGAGATAATTTTTTTTATAATTTTTTAATATAATTTTTACATATCATTAAATAAATAAATATATTCAATATCACTAATCTTAATTGAATAAAAATAATTAATTATTTAAATAATATGTAAAGTTATATCAAAATGTGATACGATTAGGTTGTCTTTCAGTCATTTTCCTTAGCAATTCACTACAAAATTATTAGCCTTTTGATAGAGAAAGCCCTACTGATCATTGAAGCCTGCCCCAATTAGACTAATGTAGATGCCACAACATTTTCTAGGGTTTTGCATCTTATCCCCCTCAAATCAAATCTCTCCCTTGTGTTGAGATTTGGAAAGTTACTCTTATACTACTATCTCAGAAAAAGAAAATGAAAAACGAAAGTGACATAAAAATAAAACAATTCCGTGATAATTAATCTTCTTAACAAGTGATATCAGAATTGAATCAATTTTGATGCTTTTCATGGTTCAACAAACCTACCACAACTGCATAAAGCAAGCAAACTTTTCTTCTTCTTTTTTTTTTTTTTTTTGAAATTTAGAAATTTGAAGGGGAAAAATATAAGGAGAGACGTTTTTTTCTTGTGCACTTTACGTAAAAAGGAAAACAGGCTTGAATTTGAGCATTTTGCAGACATACAAAATCGTGTCTACAATCCATGTTTTGACAAATTGAATCAATTCTGTGTTCTTGCAACAACCCCATCACAGGTAAAATCTGTGTGCTTTGCAATTCTGTGGGCATGCAGTTATCAAGAAAGAGTTTCTCTCCACCATGGAACTCTGAATTTCTTGGTTAATTGAACACACTATGTATGGCTCTTTACCTGCCTCACTATTATTGTCCCAATGATCAAAGAAAGGGGCCATTCTTGTGGTGGATATATGGGCAAGTAATCTCTCAATGACAGAGACTCCACCTCCACAACCAAAAAGGCAAAAAGAAAAAAAAAATCAACATTCATGTTAGGCAATATATCCAAGGTGCTGTGCACTTGGAACCGGCTTTTTGAGTCTCATGATTCGTTTTCAATCTTTAAATATTTAGATTTAATTGATCGAGATTTCGATTTTCACTAACTGCTCCAAGAATATCTTTCTTTTCCAATGATTTTCTGTGTTAAAAAAAAAAAAAATTGATGTGCACTTAGCAAAAGGCCTCTAACTGGTAAGCTCATAGCCGACACCAAAAAAATGCATGCTTAATTAAGTTCGTAAAGGTCGGTAAAAAGTCTTGTTAGGTGAAGATGGTGACTTCTTTCAATTAATCCTCTTATTAAAGGCAAACCATTTACAGTTAAAGGCTTTGTTTATATTTTTTTTTTATGGATGGGTAGGAATTTACTTGTATATAATTTTTATTAATTATATTTTTATAAAATTTTAATTATTTATTTTTAAATTTTTAATAGTTAATATTTACTTACATT